CTCGTGTTCAATTCCCCCCATCTTCATGGAACATCCTCTGTGCAGGGACTTGACCCCTGTCCTGCTAGCTTTGCACTGAGGCAAGCTCTGTCCATGCCTAGTAGTGCCACCATCTTTACTAGATGAGGTTTCTAAAGATCTTGGCATGGAAGGAAAGCCTGGGGGCCTTGGATAGGCATCACTTAGGAACTGGGAGAGCTCCAGGTAAGCCACCTGATCTCTTTGAGCCTCAGTATCCTCACTCACATCCCTATGGCTCAGTAGAGTCCCAAGCACATGGTGGACACGCAGAAGTATTGATCATCTTCCTCACCTCCCCTAGGAGAGCCCTTGGGAATCCCCACATAATATTCCCTGAAGACCTTAATCCAATGAGCTGAGTAATTGACTCGGTACCAAACTCAGAGAAAGGACATTAGAAGCCAAAAGGAGGTAGAGTATGTCCCAGTACGATAACCAGCCTCTGATCTCAAGGAAGAAAGAACAGAGCTGCAGGTGGGAAGTGTGCGCCACAAATCATCAAAGTGGGAGTGGAAGGAGCACCCACTAGTCCCTCGGAGGCGATTCCTAAGACTTGGTGAGTATGGCTTCGAAAAATGTGATTGTCCTCAACCCCACAGTCTTGAACCTAACAGGAGATCTCAAAGCCTGAAAGACACCACTTTAGGATCAACAGCAGATCTGCGACTTTCCACAGCAGGTACACAGAACCCTAGAGTTAGTCAAGGTTGGACACAGGAAGGGCTTCCAAACACACAGAGAAATTCATTAATCCTAAATTATAAAGGGAGGTTCTTTAAAAGAACCAAGATGATTCTGAGATCTATCCTGAGATTCTTTTTTTCGATACGGAGTCTCACTCTGTCGCCCAGGCTGGAGTGCAGTGGCGCAATCTCGGCTCACGGCAACCTCTGCCTCCCGGGTTCAAGCAATTCTTGTGCCTAAGCCTCTCCAGAAGCTAGAATTACAGGGGCATGCCACCAGGCGTGGCTAATTTTTCTATTTTCAGTACAGACGGGGTTTCACCATGTTGACCACGCAGGTCTCAAACTCCTGACCTCAGGTGATCCACCTGTCTCGGCCTCCCAAACTGTTGGGATTACAGGCGTGAGCCACCAGGCCCAGCCTATCCTGAGCCTTTAGAGGCTGAAACCAGAGATGCGAAGCCCAGTGTCTCCCCACTGGCCATGCGGAGGCTGTTGTTGGGTAGTCTCTCAGCCTGCAGGAGCCAGGGATCTGGCCCCAAGTGATGCCCCAACAGTGGGCCATTTCCCAGTACTGTCAGGAAAATCCCAAGTCTAATTCAAAGTTGATTTTTTACTAGCAATGAATGATGGGCAAGGTTTCCATTGCTCAAGGTCCTCGGAAGATCTAGACTAGAGAAAAGGATCACTGACTTCTACCCACACCTGTGGGCCTCAGTTCTTCCCTCTGGTCCATGGTTGCCATGGTAACCCTTTGTAAAGGTGTTTCCCCAGGGGTCCCTAGAGTCCTCTGAGTCACGGTAACTCTGAGGTCAACAGAAGTGGAGAGGTGAGAGGAGACACTCCCGTGCCCTGGCTGGTCCCACGTGTTCCTGGCTGTAACCTGTCTGGGGAGCCTCGCCACCCCCGTGTCCATCTACAGAGCTCTGGATTAGTCCCCAGTTCAGGCTCCTGCTATCCTCATTCCTAAGGGAGGCTGGAGACTTCTTCCATGGCCTAAAGTCCACATCTAAGTCCCCAGCACTAGCAAAAGGGCCCTATCATGGGGTGCTCCCTGCCTCAATTGACATTGGAGGAACATGGGAGAAGCTAAAATAACTAAATAACTGAGTAGCATCATACTACCTGCTCTAGAGAAAAAAATTTTTTTCTCTTTTTCTGAGATGGAGTTCTGCTCTGTTGCCCAGGCTGGAGTGCAGTGGCTGATCTCAGCTCACTGCAAGCTCCACCTCCTGGGTTCAGGTCATTCTCCTGCCTCAGCCTCCTGAGTAACTGGGACTACAGGTGCCCGCCACCACACCCAGCTAATTTTTTTGTATTTTTAGTAGAGACGGGGTTTCACCATATTAGCTAGGATGGTCTTGAACTCCTGACCTCGTGATACACCCGCCTCGGCCTCCCAAAGTGCTGGGATTACAGGCCTGAGCCACCGCGTCCAGCCTGATAGGGCATCTTTCGGCGTGATGTGTTCGGAGTTCCAAAGCTAGGGAAGACACTCAAACCTTCAAGAGCTCTTCTAACTTTGAGATTCTCTGATGGTTTCAGGGCTGGGGGAGGAAGCGCTTGTGGTCCGTGTCTGTCCCCGGAATTTCTGCTTCTTGGTTTGTATCTCTGCTGCAGGTTGAAGGAGCTGGAGCAATACCCTGAGTCTGGGTTCTTTGTCCCCAGAGACCTAGGGGAGCGCCCCCCACCCCCCAACCCGCCAAGGCTCAGGGACAGGGCAGAGCAAAGTGGGGAGTTGGTTCCCTCTAGTGGTCAGTGTTAACACTGCATCCAGCTGCCTCAGGCGGGCCCAGGAGGAGTCA